GACTACGACTACGACTACGACTCCTGCTGCTGCTACTGCTGCCGCTGCAACTACTTCTAGTATTTCCAGTGATACCACCAGCACTAAGCTCACTCGTACTCGCAGTCGTGCTCGCAAAACCACTACCACTGCCACAACCACAACAACAACCACAACAACAACAACAACAAAACACAAGCAGCGGCAGCAGCAGCAACAACATCACCAACAGCAGCAGCAGCAACAGCAACAGCAACAGCCCTATCTAAACCCATGCAACAAAGCAGTGCGGTCGAAAGGGTCAAAGGGAAGCTGAGGGGGTTCACAGGAGCAAGCTGGCGCCTACTACTACTGCTACTGCTATTACTGCTACTACTGCTACTACTACTGCTACTACTGCTACTCTGCTGCTACTGCTGCTACTGCTGCTACTACTACTACTACTACTACTACTGCTACTACTACTCCTACTGCTACTACGACTACTACTACTACTACTACTACGACGACGACGACGACTGCTGTTACTGCATGCTGCTACTGCTACTGCTGCTCCTATTGCTTCTGCTGCTGCTGCTGCTGCTACTGCTACTCCTGCTCCTGCTCCTGCTCCTGCTCCTGCTCCTGCTCCTACTCCTACCCCTACTCCTGCTCCTGCTCCTACTCCGACTCCTACGCCTACGCCTACGCCTACGCCTACGCCTACGCCTACTCCTACTCCTACTACTCCTACTCCTACTCCTACTCCTACTTCTACTCCTGCTGCTGCTACTGCTACGACGACCTGAACTATGGCAACAAGAGACTCTTCGTGCACTCCCGCCCTTGCGCTCAACGCAGCTTGTTACGGATATTTTCGTGCTTTCTGCCATGTCTCGCTGCAGATTCTGCTACCACACGCTGCGGAGGCACAAAAACTGCATCCGTCTTACGGATTATCATTATCATCATTGTAATTGGCAATTGCATTGAATCAGAGCCGTTGAATTTAAGTGGGTTTTGTGGTGGTGCGCCGAAAGATCCGAAGGCGCGCATTGGGACTGAAGCCGAGTTTCGGTCTGAGATTGTCAATTGACCGATCGCCATCAAGGAAGTGCTGTGCTGGCTGTGCGCTCTATCTTGCAACATCACGCACAGCCCGTCACGGCCCGTCAACACAGAGTATGCCCCTGTTTACATACAGATGCTGAGCGGTACAAACGGAGACGTGGAGTATGTGTAGCTCGCCCCAACAGTAACCAGCAACCGGAGCCACGAGCGGCAAAATCGACTTGCAGCCATCATTCTGTTAACAACAGGCTGATGTCACTGACATTTGGCGGTGCCAACTCCAAGGCGGACGGACAGCGGAGCGATCGTTTCCCGTGGTTGCCAGGTGGTGCAACACTGCAAGCCTTGGCTCCCTTCGCGCAAAGCTTGCGACCGGCTTGTCACAGCTGAAAGAACCCAGCCAGCGCCGGTAAATGCTAACCAATCTTTTTGGTCCTCGGTCGCTGGGCGGCAGCAGAAGGCGGGGAGGTGAAGCTTGATTGACTTGGATACCGACCATCGCACCCCCAGCACAACGTCCGGAACATAAACATGCACGCTCATGCAATTGTTTAACATGCATCTTTCGTGAGAGGTTGCCAGCGCAGGCTTCTAGCCGTTGTCAGCCCTGGTCGGACGAGCCGTCGGAAGAGTCGTGACATGTCATGAGCCGCCATGCATAAAGCACACCAACTTGTACAGACGTGGGAAATTCAACACAGCCCAAATAGCATTGAATGCGGGTCCTTGCACGCGAATGTGCCGTCTGCTGTCAATAACAACATAATCCTGCATGTGGTCGCGATAGTGCGTGAGTGCGTGCGGGCGGGCGGGCGGGTAACCGGCCGGACGGGTGTTCATTAGATGAATTCGCTGATGCATGAGCTGGCCTTCCAACCCACGATGATGTAGCCTTCACAGATCATGCTCACAGACTGACTACCAGCTTTTCGTGCCCACCTGATGAATGTCAAACCGCCCAGAATCTTTCTGGCCGCAGACCTGGCACAAGACCAAAAATCGCAACCTGCTCAAGAAAAAATTAGCACTCTCTCCAGCACATTGCAGCTCGCACATTGACCTAGTCATCACCTGTGGCATTCCTTTGCGACTGACGTGGAGACCCTACAGGCAAAGGCGGTGCCTGCGACCTTGAGGTCAGTCCCATCCAGGATGGCAATGTGAACTTGTCAAGCTGCTGAGCAGCCTGCTGCGAGCAACCTCGAAGCATCAGGCAAGGCCACGTGGCCGGCCCCTTGACTTTGTCATCTCGCCTGAGCTCCGTACTGAGTAAGTTGCTAGCCCACTGCCACTGAAGCACCTCGCATTGCAGGAAGAGCCTATTGCAAGAGGCAATCACTCCAAACCTTTGAGCTTGGGCTCGCGCGCACGCGCAAGAACTCACGGCGACGTTGTGAGCAGTAATATCCAGTTCGATGCCACCCAGGCCGAGCAGGTACAGAACGTCTCTCCAGTTGTTTGCTCGTCTGCATGCACTCGCAGTGGCACACAAGAGTTGAACATCTGCCTCGAAGCCGACAGCATTGAATTGACAAAGCAGATGGACGGCACGGTTCCAGGCCATTGAATCTGCACTGGCTCCCATGCCTGCAGTGAACACAATACGTGCCGAGACCTCCACGTCCAGGTTGCATTGCCGCATTTCCGCTAAAACCGCCAGGGCTTCGTCAATTTTGTTTTTGTTCAAGAGCGCCCGGGCAGCGGAAGCAAAGCGTATGGCATCCGGGGCCAGATGACTCCTTCGCATAAAGCGCAGATATGCCAGCGCCGGAGCCCAACTGCTGACCTTGCGGCAGGTCTCCAAGACACGATCAAAAGTCTCTTCAGCGGGATGCAACTCCGATGATCTGATGGAGTCCAAGAAAAAAGCAGCAGACTCCCAGCTCAGCTGAATCCCAGAAGCAGTCAGTGCAGCCGTGTAGGTCCGAAGATTTGGCCGAACTCCGTCCACCCCGACTTGTTCAAGCACCGTCAAAGCGCTCGCCCAATCTCCACTGCGGCTGCAACCACCCATAACCTTTACGTGGAGAACAGACGTTGCTGCAGAGAGCCGACGGGCAGTCTGCAGAATCTTGAGCGCGCTCAAGGCACTGGACCGGGTACCTGCCTGTCGGCATGCATGTGCGACTTGTGCAAACGGCGCAACATGTTGAGGGCTCTGTCTGTCCACGGGAACTTTCGAAAGGCAGAGGTGCTGTAGCAGCTCTAGGCTCCATGTCCAGCGAAGTGCTTCGCCGCAAGAGTGCATCGTCATGCTGTAGTAAGGCTGATACAGGCGCATCCCAAAGTGCACCAGGAAGGTAAAGTAGGTAAGTGATTGTCTCCAGCGTCCTTTTGCCCCTATTGCATTGCCAACTTCATGGCGTTTCTGGCGACTCGGTGCTTGGTGAAGGTTCAAATTTCGAAGAAGCATCACCGCAGCCTCCCATCGGCTGCTTCTGACACATGCACTGCTGGCATCATCCACGATGTCTTGCACATACTCGTCGTAGTGAGAGCCATGACATCGAGCTTCTCTGATCCCACGTAGCGAAGCTAAGCAGTGGCTTGCCGCAGTCCAGTGGTGTGTTCTGGCATACTGCCTTGCCGCAACGACTTCAAAATAGGGTCTGTCTCTTTGTAATCTTGGGCGAGCTCGATGAATCAGCTGCCGGAAGGACTTTGCCTCGCGGTCATCTTCTGAGAGAGGGAGTTGTGCATGTCTCGCTTGATGTGTTTGCCCCGAGCACTGCACCATTCCATTGCTGCATGAGAAAAGTGGGAGCAGCTTCCAGCCAGCTCTTCATTCAGCGAGTTTCCGGCCTGCATGTGCCTACTGGAGGCATTGCTGGCCAACGCACTCCAAGCCCTTTCCTGACTCATGCAGCAGCATCGGTAACTAAGGTGATTGTGAAAGCCAGCCTCAAATCGGTTACGGCTTTGACTCTGGACTAGGGCTATGATTCGACAAGTACGATTCGCATGCAGCCTCATCAGACATATAAATGTCAATGCCGGTTGAATTTGCGTGCGACTTGCACGTGATTGCCCACTATATTGGATAAAGCTTCGCGATTGACTGTACCACGTGAGTGCAGATGCTAGCTCGCGAAATTTCGAACATCTGAGCCGTTCTGGCTTGTCAGGGGACTCGGCTGTGCAGAGCAACACATGCAACACAAGGGGCAGCTGTCCATGCGAGGTCGAGTCCGTGTCATATCAACATCGTATCGACAATGACCCTTGCGCGGGGGCATACATTACTCAGCTTTAGCAGCGAAAATCGCAACGATAAGCGCTGCCTAATCGAGACCCAAACCAACACCAAATCCATCTGAGTTGGGTTACCGCCCACCAGCACTAGGATGCGTTTCGGCCAAACGGACCACATTACAGATTCAAGGGCTTTCATGCGCATGCTTGCCACGCTTGCAATTCTTGGGCATTGGTCGTGGCAGGCACACCCATGTAACTCCGTTGCTGAAGTCAATGCCAGAGAAGAGTTCTCCAGCCCAGCGGACACCACCCCGCACCGCGATCTGCGCAGGCAGTTTAACAACACACGACGGCACCCGACATGATCTTGCCTCGCCTCAAAATCGCTCTTGGCTTCCAGGCCTAGTTTCGCATGGCTGCGCACTGCATTCCATGTCACACGAGGAAGTTCCGGCCTGGCTCGCGCTTGATGTCACTTCCTTTGGCCCGTGCCTGGCATCAGAGCATTCTCTGCTGAAGTCTGCGCAGTTCGGAGGTAAAGTCCTGCCAATTGCTGCAAACGCGCAGTGGTGCTTCGTCAAAGCATGCAGGCACAGGCCCCTCACACACCAGAGGCGGCCAACAGGCACTGCACACCGACCCATTGTGCACGATGCCGTGCTACAACTCCAGCTGCAGAAAGATTAGATGCACCCGATGCTGGGGCTCCCAGATCATCAAATGTCGCACAGCGTGGTGCCCACACAATCTTCATGGATGAGAACTAAGAACTCAGAACTTGTAGTGCTGGTGGTCTTGCCTCGAGCACTCGCTGAAATTCCTCAGGTGGTAGTGCAGCGAAGCTCAGCTTGATGAACTCCCAGCACGCAAGCATTGAGTTCGACAATGCAGCCAAGACGCATGTTCCAGGGTCTCACCCCTGCCCGGGCCCGAGGCTGAAAGAGACTTATATAGACACCCACCAGGTCCGCCGAACACGAAACACGATTTATGTGCTCCGGCTGTGGCCATTGTGCTACTTGCACCGAGGTCCATATCCGGACATGACTAAGGCCAGGGTTCTCAAACTGTCAACACTGTCCCGGAACCCTGTCGCAGTTGCTTCTCCATGCGAGGATGTGGACAAGGTCCAGGGAGCTCAACCACTATGTCGCATTCTTTGCTTCTTCCCAGAAGCACTGAAGGCAGCTGCAGTTGCACCCTACAAACATTTGGTTCACGACATGGTTCCCCCAGCCTATGTGAGCTTGAGCATCCAGCAATTAATCTTTTGTTTGTATGGCTGTAGTGCGGCTTCTCAATCCGGTCTTTGCAAACTACTGGCGCCGGGCCAAAGGCTGTCAATCAAATCGCTAGGGAAACCAAGTCACCTGCCTCTTGAACTCTTCCTCTAGCACCATGGCCTGGACAGCAAGAGGCTAAGACAAGACACGAAGACCCTTTTGGTGTGTTGTGGTAGGCCGTGGCGTGGCATGGTGCGAACCTGCTCGGGCTCTGCATCTGCGCTCCCGGAGCCTCCGACGGAGCCTTCGACCGGGCAATGAGAGACTGCGTCTCACAACTTCTCTCCTCCGCAAAACCATGTACTGCCAATGTATGCCTTTTCGCTGGTCTGCAGCAACCAGAACATTCAGCTGTCGGGGCCTTGCTCGATCGATAGGAACAGGAACCAGCTTCCTTGAAGCTCTTGAACATTGTCATCCGAACGTCGTGACACATCACACCTTGGACACGTCCCAGCAAATGTGGTCGGAAGGTGCCTGTCAGAATATTGCCACGCATCACCAAATGATCTCAAAAAGCAGGTCTGCCTGGACAGTATGGCCAGAGCTGCCGCAAAGAGGAAAACGCGCCCAGTCCTTGAGGAACCAAGGATGGCTGGAAAAAACGGCAAGCATGTATTATGCACACTGTATCACATGGTAGAACACTGTGGGCCGGAAAGCCGTCGAAATTGGAATTGCAAGCTTTTGAATAAACTATGGGGCGTTGACAAAGTTCGTAGAAAGAACTGAGGCACTGGTATCCCAAAGGGAACTTCCGGCACCTCGTGTGGCGGAAGAACTAGCCGGATCCGACAAGGTCAAGTTTGAGAAGAAGATTGCATTTCTCCGGGAGCATGTACGCACAGGGGGGTGGGATGGTGTGGGCATGAAGTGGCGACTTGCGCCTAGCCATGGGACGCTGCACAGCTGTCCCTTACAGGTAAAATCCAGTATTACTATGTATATGGAACTGAAACGCACACGAATGACGACCTTTCAATACAGGGAAAAGCTAGAACCATTTCAGATGATGTGCCTTGTAAAGTCCCCCTAAGACCTGTATTTCGCGACAGAAGCAAACGCATGTTGATAATGGTCGTCTGCGTGCGTGGCTGGGGCTTCCAACTGAATGCGACTCGATCACACAAACATGGTTACGGCGCCGGT